TCCCCACTCTGTCGGGTCCGTGGTGGGGCACTGCTTCTATCTCTATCCAGCCGCCAAAGCCTGCTCCTTGAATCCCCACACTCCGCTCTGCATGGGATGCGCCTCAGCCCGGAACACCCCTGGGTCCTCTCTACCCTGCCTACAGGCGCAGGGCCCAGGGGTTGCCTAAGCTGGGCCCCAAGTTGCAGGCTCTCCAAGGAGGGCCTTCAGGGAGCGCCTGGAAGGACGGACCCAGATCCCTGGGCGGCAGTGGGGCCCGGGAGCAGAACTCAGGCAAGGCCACAGGGCAGGCTGACGTGGTCCCTCGAGGTGACCCACGGCTGAGGGCATACCCTTTCCGTGTCCGGCTGCTGGCACGTCCAGAGGGCAAGGGCACGGCGGGCAGCCTGGCCTCCCTGGGCACCCCTCCGAAGATCTGAGCGGAGGGACCTTGGTGGGTCACCGTGTCATTCCCCACAGAGGAGGTGGGACAGCCGTGACCTTGCTGTGACGGTCCTCATCAGGGCCTGTCTGGGACATCGTCCCTTGATGTATGAGGAGGGCCACGGCCCTGGGGAGGAGCAGAGGCAAAGCAAGCCCTCCCCCTGGGCCTGCTGTGGGGCAGACGGGAGCGTGGACCCCAGCTCCGTGTGTCCCTGCTCCGTGGGCACAAGCCACCCTGGGAGCTGTCTGATCCCGGACTGTGCCCGTGTGCCCCCTGCAGGAGGAATGGGGGCTGCCCACATTGCCTGGGGAGGGCACGCCTGCATGACCCCCGGCCTGGAACCATGCCGCATGGACAGGGTCTCTGGGCCTGGCAGGTCCCCTTAGGATGACCATGCCGTGGTCCAGAACTATGGCTCAGACAGGACTCGGGCCATCGACCTGCGGGCCTGCTGGGTCGGGCGTGTCCAGGGCAAGCCCTGGGGGACAGCAGGGGGCTGACCGCGCTGCCCAGCCCCAGGTGCAGGCACCCCGCCCCCAGCAGCGCCTGAAGTCCCAGAAGCCTGTGTGCGGCTGCCCGCGGCCGCTCGGCCCGGGTTTCGCCAGCACGCAGCAGTTTGCTGGGCGCCCAGTGGCAGTCTGTGGGCAGTGAGGCTGGGCAGGACCAGACCAGACCAGACCAGTCATGGGAATTGGAATCCTTTATTGACCACTGAGACGAGCCGTGTCCTCCCTCACTCTGCGGGGAGCGCCAGGCCGGGCGTGGGGGTGGCGGGCGGCCTAGGACTCGGTCTCGAACATCTTCTTCCTGCCCTCCATGCCAGACTTCTCCTCGATGTTCTTCCGCCAGTCACCCACGTCGCGCAGGTCCCGCTCCTGGGGAGGGGTTGGTATGGAGCTTAGGAAGGGGCTGCAGACCCCCGTGGCCTCGGTTTCGCCCCGCCGGGGCGGGCACTGGGGGGTGGTGCCGGGCCGCGCTGTGGGTGGAGGGGACTGCGACCTACCTTCTCGGTGTCCTCCTTCTTGACCTGCTTCAGGTTGGCCCGGAGGTCCATGCACACCTTGTGCTTGGAGCCCAGCAGCGCCTTGAGCATGGCATCGGCCGACATGCGCACCCTTCTCAGCGGGGGCCTCTTGAACTTGCCTCTCAGGTCGAACAGCTTCTGGTTCATGTCCTCCAGCTGTGAGGCGGGGGTGAGGGCTGGTGGGGGCCAGCGGTGGCCAGGCCCCCCCGCTGGCTCGGAGTGCCCCTCACCGCGCGCCCGGCCCCGCCCCTCACCCGCTCACCTCCTTGGTGCTCTTCTGGACCCTCACTTCCATATCATACTTCTCCTCCTCTGCCGCGTCGATCTTGGCGTGCAGTTGTTTGCAGAGCTCCTGGGGGAGAGCAGCAGGTGGGGGGGTTGGGCAGTGGTCCACCTGCCCTAACCCCCTTCTTGACCAATGGGGAAACTGAGGCAGCAGGCTGGAGCGCTGCTCGGGGAGGGTACCTGCACTTCAGACATGGAGCCGGGCAGGTGCAGTGGGGGGCAATGCTCAGACAGGTAGTTCTGCTTCTCCGACTCACGGCGACTCTCCTCCTTCTCCAGCTCCGTGGCGGCGATCTGGAGCATGACGCTCTGCGGGGGGCAGGGGGCGGGGGGCAGGCCAGTGAGGGGCCGTGGGGCCCCCGCCTGCGCACACCCCAGGGTGGCCCTCTCGGGGGGCAGCACCTACCTTCAGGTGCTGTCTCCGGGCTGTGATGGCCCTGTTGCGTTTCTGCAGGGTATGGGGGGAAGAAGCAGAGTCAGGGCCCACCCGGGTCCCCAGCACCCCCACATCCCTCCACGCTTGCCCACCTGGGTCGGTGGGCCCTGCCTGGGGGGCAGCTGGACCTGGGGGCTCCGGAGGCCCTGCTGGGGGGCCCGGGCCCAGGACACCTGTGTCCAGGTGGCAGGTGAGGTCCGAAGGCTGGGGGTGGGTGGAGAGGGGCCGTGCCTAGGGGCAGTGGGAGGGTCGGGGGATCCCGGCAGGGCCCAGGAAGTGGGGGGAGCGGTCAAAAGAAGAAGCGATTCTGGTGACCTGGCCACAACCCCACTTCCCCTGCCCCGTGAGGCACGGAGGCCACGTCCTCTGTTTCGTCAGTGTCTGGGAGGTGGGGTGGGGCACCTTCACAGGGGAGGGCTGGGCAGCTTCCCTTGAGCTCTGACCTCGGACCCATCCCAAGTAAGGGGTCCCATCCCTTCTATATTTCATGCCCCGCCAGCCCCAAGCGGGTACTCACCTCCTCACTGTCCCAGGGAGGGGGCAGGTGCGGTAGGGGGGAGAGAAGAGAGAGGTTAGGGACATGGATGGGGCAGTGTGATGGGGTGGCGGGGGAGGTGGCCAGAGCTGGCTGGGGAGCTGCAGAGACCTCCACCCCAGTGGGGGGAGGGTGGGGGCGGCAGGGGCCCTGGGCTTGGAGCTGAACTTACTCCCCCATCCTGAAGTCCTGGGCTTAGAGCCTGTGGAAGAGAAAAGGCCTGGGCATGAGGGCCACGGCCCCCGTACCCACAGGTCGGCGGGGCAGCCCTCAGACCAACCCTGCCCCCTGTCGCCCTGCCCCCAGCTCGGACCTCCTTGGAGGCGCTGTCTTGGGATTCCCAGGGTGAGAAGAGGAGAAAGTGTTCCCAAAATGTCCCGGGCGGGGCCTGGGTTGCTGCAGCTGTCCCGGGGGGGGGGGGGGTTGGCGGGCCAGCACAGGTGGCCACCAGAGCCATCCAGCTATTTTTAGTTCTGTTCCTTCGGCTTTGGGCCCAAGTGCATGCAAGAAACTGCTCCCCACTTTGGCCTGGGGTCCCTCAACCTGTCAAATCTCCTCCTCGTGTCCCACCCGGAAGTGAGGCCCGGTGATCAAGGGGCTGTCCACGACCCCTGCCCCACCAGCTGCGTCCCAGTGCATCTCCGTCTGCCTCCCAGCTCCATGGAAGCCCCCCCAGAGAGGCTGCTGGAGGCGGCCCCCAACCCCCAGGACCCCCACCCTGGGACGTCGTCCTGCAAGCTAGCTCAAGAAGTGCCTGTCGTCGGCCTAAGCTGGCCGGGCTGGCCTCACCTAGCGTCTGGGCAGCAGTGCCGGGAGCGAGGTCAGGCCGGCGGCGGCAAGCTGGGCTGGTGGGCCCAGGGGGAGGGGTATAAATGGCTTCCCCCAGGCTGGGCCCCCGCTCAGAAAGGGCATGGAGCCCTCCTCAGACCAATGGGGGCACAGGGGCCTCCCCACCTGCCCAGGCCGCCTGGCCCGGCCCAGCCGCGTGCTGTCGTCCAGTCCAAGAAGTCTTGGTGTGTGTGTGGGGGGGGTGCCGAGGTTGGGTTGCTCTATTTAGAGCTCAGTGACAAGTTCGAGAAGCCTCCCTTGTTCTTGCAAGGAGCCTCTGGTCAGCGGTAGGTGGCCTTGCTGGGCCACCGCAGGGCACAGGCTCAGGGTCAGCTGAGGGATCACTCCGGTCCTAAGCCAGGGTCCACACCTCAGTTTCCCCTCTGCTTCCCCAGGGGGCCGGCTTCCTGGGGTGGAGCAGCTCCCCTGCAGCTCCCTGCTGCCTTTGCCAGGCGTCCCCGGGCATGAGCTGGCCGCGTCCCTTCCTTCCTCCAAGCTGGCTCCAGCTCAGGGGCAAGGCCTGGACCCCCAAATGTGGCCCACGGCAGTGGCGGGGGCCCTCTGGGTGGGGGCTGCCCTCCCCCGGCTGGGATCCTGTCCTCCCGGGAACAGGAGGGAGGGTGCCTGGACGTGCAGTGGGCCAGAACGCCCTGCCCTGGGGTGGTTCCTGGCTCACTCGGAACACGTCCTTCAACCCAAGGATGGCGGCACCACCCGCCTGGGAACCTCTCCCTGACCCAAGGGGCCTGGGGCCCGCCTGGGCAGGCCCAGTACTGCTGCCCTTCTCACCCTGGCCCGGGCCTGCGCCCCCCGCCCGGGCCCCCACCCAGCAGAGACATCCGGAGGACCATGACTTGGCATCCTCCGAGCTGGGGGTGCGTGGCCCCAGCCCTGCCGGCCTCAGGGCCGTGGGGAGGGTCAGGGGAGCTGAAGCCGTCCAGATGTGTGGGGATTAGAGCTGCATTCCTGGCCAGGGCTGAGCCCCCAGAGGCCCGAGGAGGCTTCCTAAGACATCTACTGCCCCCTGCCGTCTCGAAGAGGAAGCCCCGCAGCAACAGCCCTTGGAAAGTGTGGGGCCCTGCGGGGGGGCTAAGGCGGCCCCTTGGGTTGGGGTCCTTTCCCTCCACTGTCACTATCCCCCAAATGCCTCCCAATTACCCCTTGTGTCCCCATGGGGCCGGCTGTAGTCTTCCTCCCGGACCCAGCAGCCCCACTGACAGGGAGGACTGCTTACGTCTTCCTACCATCCCTGTCGGGCTTGGAGGGGACCCCTTCACCCCCCTGAGGGGTCGGGCACTGGCCAGAGGCCTCAGGGCCCAGCAAGCCTGGAGAGAGTCCTCTCCCCGCAGCAGTGATGGAGGAGTCCCTGACCCCGTGTCCCCGCAGGCTCGGGAAAGACACACGGCCCCAGCAAAAGGAGGGATTTATTACAGCGGCCCCCCGGGGCAGCCTGGACAGCACCCACACCTCAGTCCCGTGGGCCAGGCAAGGGCAGGTGCGGACGGGGCTTCAGGGCCAGAGCCTGGTCCACCTCCCCGGCCAGCTGCAGGTGGTGCCACTGGGCAACAGGCCGCCGGGCGTGGGCCAGCGTGTCTGCCTGCTGCTGCAGAGGCTGCCCAGAGGCCCGGGCGCCGAGCAGCTCAGCCCGAACCCGTGGGCCCCGGGCCCGGACAGGCAGCACCAGATCCACGCTCTGGGCGGAGGCAGGCCGAAGCTCATGGGGAAAGAGAAAGACAGCAGTCGGTTTGGCCCCAAGGGTGCTCCCACCCACCCCTTCCTCCAGGCAGCCCACCTGGATCTGACTGAAGGGCACGAGGAAGGTGAAGGCCTCGTTGAAGTAGGGGGAGGCTGTGCCCTTGCGAGCCGAAGTCTTTCTCTTCCTCCACTTCCTCTGGTTCAGCATGAGCTGGACCTTCACGTAGGGGTCTGGGCAGGCGAAAGGGATCAGAGGTGTGCCAGGTCTGAGGGCCAAGCACGGGGCGCCCCCCTCCACGCAGAGGGGCAGGTACGGCTCTCACCTGCCAGGCCCAGGCTCAGGCCTCGCACCTCCAGCACCACCACGGTTAGCCGGCCCTAGCTGGGGACGTACCGGAGCAAGAAACACAGCTCTCCAGACCGCTCGGGCTGTGGGCAGCGAGACGGGGCCTCAGTCTCCCGTGTGGCACCCAGGGCAGGGCCAGGCTGGAGCGCGGCAGTCCATGGCCTCACCTCGGTGGCGCCTGGCAGGCCCAGCTGGCACCACTGCTCCAGGACGTGCTGCAGGTCGATGGCACCCAGTGGCAGGCTGAGACTGCCCAGCGGCTCGTGGGCAGAGAAGCGCCTGAAGCTCAGCACCCACACCTGCAGGGTGGTCTGAGACAGCTCTTCCTGCAGTACCTGCAAGCAAGGGTGTGAGCTGGGCACCCCCACGCGGCCCAGGCCCCCCGGCCACCCAGCCCAGATGCATGTGGAAGCAGCAGGTCTCCTAGAACGTGGGGCAGAGTGTGCCGTGGTGCCCTGCCTGGCTGGACAGGCTGACTCGGGCGTAGGGGTCCACCGTGCCGCCCGGGCCACAGGCCCTCAGGTCTGTAGCCTGCTTGAGGCCCACTTTGATCTGGGAGTCAGGGGTGGCTCCGCCCCCTGGGCCCTCCCTGGTCAGCCCCGCACCCAGCACCCGCCCGGCACCCAACCCCTCCCTGAACCCGCAGACCCTCTGCACCAGCAAAGGGGGCTCCGCACCTCCCGCCTTCCAAAGTCATACTCCAGGGAGAGCTGCAGGCGCCCCCAGTGCTGGGGGCCCCCCGGGGCAGTCTCCAAGTTATCCATGTCCGGTTGCCCCTGTTGGGTAGGTAGGGATAGGTGACAGGTGCTGCTGGGACGCCCAAGGAGGCAGCGCCACATCCCAGGCCAGGCCACACAAGGGCTCACATCCTCAGCTCAGCTCTGTGAGACGGGGCTTAGCTGCTGGATCTCCCCCAAATCGATTTCGAGCACCACTGCCTTCCTGAAGAACCTCCTGTGGCTCCCCGCAGCCCGTGGACCAACCTCTGGGGCTGGCACTTGGGGCCTCCAGGCCTTAGTCCCACCTGCCTCCCTTTTCTCCTGCCTCCCTCTCACCTTCGCTCCTCACCTCCCCTGCTGGGAGGGCCTTCCCTGCCTCTGCTCCTGGGCAACCAGACCAGCTTGGGGGCTGAGCTTGCCCCGACCCTGGGCCTTGAGCTGCCCTCGGGGGCGGCCCAGCCTGGAGCTGGGCACCGGCGAGCGCTGGTGCACGCTCCTCACCAGGTGGGTGCCGGTGGTGGTCCCTTGAGGACCGCCCAGGCCCATAGCCTCCCTGTCCCTGGGCCTCTTCCTGTGGGCAGCACAGAGGTTGCAGGAGACCATGAGGACACCAGCTGCCACAGCGAGGGCAATGAGCACCCAGCGGGGCCCTGGGGGTGGACGCAGAAATGCAGCTGAGATGCTTCCGTGGACAGCAGCTGCCCCCCCCCGCCCCAGGGGTCCCACAACTCACAGGGGAGCCTGACGATGAGGTCTGGAATGAGCCCGGGTACAGCCGTGGTGCCCGCCGGGGCCGGGGCGCTGTGGGGGCCCCAGGGGTGCCCCATCTCCTGTCCCTGCTGGCTGGGAGCAGACAGCCGGGGTGGCTGGCTCACCTCTGGGGCTGGCCCCCCGGCCCCCGGCCAACTGCCCCATCTGCCCAGCAGCAGCGGGCCCAGGGTCTGCCTGGGCAAGGAGGCAGCCCAGGGTGGCCAGGGGCAAGGGCTCTGAGTGGAGCCAAGGGGAGGGAGGCGCTGGGCTCTGGCCAAAGTGCCGGCTTGCCTGCCACAGGCCCAGCCCCCAGCCCCCAGCCCCCAGCCAAGCAGGCCAGGCCTCCTCATTACAGAGCCTCCTCCTCCAGGAAGCCCCCTCCTTCCCGGCCTCTCTCCCCTGGGCCCTGGGCCCCGCCTGGGGGCTGTTGCGGGTCCCGACTCGTCCCTGGCCCTGACCTCAGGCCCGCCCTGGTTGTCGGTCACATGGGTGAAGCCCTGTTCACACGTGGGGGCTGCGGCGGCCCGGGAGTAACCGGGGAGCGTGGAGACGGGGGCCCTGAGGGGCCAGGGCTCTGCTGGGGTCATGGGGGCACGTAGGGAGAGGAGTGGGGGTCGGCTGCTGGGGGGAGCCTGTCCAAGCAAGCCTGGGCTGAAGATACGTTCCCAGCAAGGGCGCCGTGCCAGGAGCGCCCGGGGAGCAGGTGAGGTGGGGGCAGGCAGGGACAGGGTGAAGCTGACAGCGGCCAGAACATTCCTTGCAAACTGACTCAGCAGCCGCTGCCCGGACCTGCCCACCTGCCGACCTGCCACCCTTCTTGCTGGTGGGAGGGAGGGTGGGCCTGGTGCCGCCTAGCTGCCTGGGGCCCGGGGCGGGAGTACACCTGGCCCGCCTGGGCGGGCTGCTCCCACCCACAGCAGGGACCGGGGATTCGGAGCGGGGGGGCCAGATGCCACGCCGGGGCACTCTGGGACCCCAGACCCACGGGAACCCCCCTGGCTCAGCTCCTCTTGGCCTCCCCTCTCCTGGGGGGCACTGGCAGCCAAGGTCATGGTTCCTCCAACCAGGGGCTCTGCCTCTTCATCCACAAGGGCCTGCCACCCCTCCACCCAGGGGCCTGGGCCACACTCCCTCCAGGAGTAAGGGGGCAGTGGGGCTGGATCCCCTCCCTTCTGCACCCCGCATGGGGAGAGGCAGGAAGGAGCCCCACCGCGATTCCACAGATGACACCCCTGCACACGGCACTGATGCCCCCTCCCCAGTGGGCTGGATGGAGGCCGCCCTGCTCCCAGAACCCCTGACCCTTCCGAATTCGGTGGAGGGAGCTTCAGCTCAGAGAGTGCCCAGGCCCCAGGTGTCCTGCTCCCAGGCCCGGCTGTGCCACCCTCAAGGGGCTGTGTGTGCGTTGTCCCTGCAGGGTCTTGTACAAATAGGAAGGTGACAGCTGGGGGAGGGGCAGACGGCCAGGGAGCTGCAGCACCGAGAAGGGACGAGGAGGCCCGCCCCGCACGCAGGAGGAAACAGCGCTCGCAGAGAAGGGCCCGGGCCTGGTTTAACGCCCCCCATTGCTGTCTTGAAATTCTAACCATTTGGCACCAAAGGCTGCACGTTTTCTGCATGGGCCCTGCAAATTACGGGGCTGATTCTGGTTGGGTTCCCTTTGGGTGATCCCCTGCCATGGGGTGCGGGTGCTCAGGGAAGCCCACAGGCCTCCACGCCCTCTGTCTTCAGAAGGACGCTCTAGGTCTGCTCTGCAGCCCACGTGGCTGGTGGAGGGCCTCGGGGAGGGGCGGCGGATGGCCTGAGGGCTCCTGGGGGTCCTGCAGGGCCCTGGAGCAGGATGCCCGAGGCCAAATCCCGAGCCCCCAGCCCCCACATGGAACTGAGAGTGAAGTTTGACTTTCCGGAATGCCAGGGCCCATGTGTCTTCTGGAACTAAAGTCGCTTCACTGGAGACTTATGGTTGAGAATTCCAGGTGCGAGGTCAGCACAGCATCTGTGTGTGTGTGCACGCGTGCGTGTGGACTGCGTGTGTGTGCCTCTCCCCGTGTCCGCGGGCGGGGGCGGGGCAGGCACGCACTCTCGGGGTTGGGGACTGCAGGCCTGGCAGGATTCCCGGGCCATCCCAGTGAAGGTGGACCCCGGGACCACAGGACATGTCTGGAGGCTGGCCCCGGAGGGTCCCGGGACACTGGGGATGCGGGCCACAGCGCTGCGGGACCCCCAGGCCTGGGGGGGAGGCACAGGGTCCCTCAGGACCTCCGGGTCCCCATGGTGGTGAAGGTTCGGGCAGACATGCAGCCACCAGGTGGCGCCGTGGGCTCCAGTGGACCCAGCCACATCCAGCTCCGGGAAGCGCGGGGGAGGGGGACCCGGGGCAGCCAGGTAGCCCCGGCCTGGGGCTGCCTCCGGGGCTGCCTTCCCGGCACCACCTCCTGGATCCTCCTCTGCTCTGGCTTCCGTGGCCCAGGGGGGCATCCCTCTCTAGCGCTAAGGCTGTTTCCCAGGAAAGGAGCAGCCGGGCGTCCTTCCTATGGGGTCCCTGTCCCAGACACCTGTCATGGGACGCCCCCTCCCGCCACTGTGCAGACGCAGCCCTGTGGCTCCTCGGGGACAGCCCGGCCTCCTGGCCACCTCCCTGCACAGACCGGGCTTTGCTCCCACTGGCCCGGCTCCAGCTGTCCTTCCATCCCATCCCCATCCTCCTCCCCCTTCGAGGCCTACGTGAGCCCCACCTCCTCCAGGAAGCCCTCCCATCACTCCCCGCCCTCCAACCTGACCTGCCTGGCAGCCTGTGCTGGACCCAGCCTGCCTCATCCAGTCAGGAGCCCCGGCTCTCCCAGGCAGAGGGGGCTCCACGTCAGCCTGGGGCCCAACAGCCCTGAGAGCCAAGCCAAGCAACCCCCTCCTTCTTCAGTCTGACTGTTTGTACTATGGGAGCAAGTTTCTGTGGGCCCTCCTCCTGGAGAAGAGCAAGGCTCCCCAAATGTCGGGGGTGGCAACCCCCAGGTACAGCACGTTCTCCCCTGCTGCCTGCACGTCTGTGGTTGGCCTGGCCTCCAGGCCTTTCTACCCCGGGCAGGCGAGGACCGCGCTGGGAGCCCTGGCCTCCCGGGAATGAGACCCTAATCTTGGTGGGGGAGCGGGTGTGAGAGGCAGGGCTTCGGGGAGCCCCACCTCAGGGCCGGAACTGCTGGCCCTCAGCAACCAGGGAACTCCCTTGGGAGGAGGGTCCCTCCCGAGACCCAGGCGCCAGGCGTCCAGGCGTGGGGCTACCCTCAGGGGTCCCTCCAGGGACGCTGGGGTCTCTTCATCCTCCCAGAGGCCTTGTGAGAGGGGGTGACGGCCTATTTGGGCTGAACATTGGGAGGGGCAGCGGGAGGGAGGGAGGTCAGGCTGGACTTGGGAAGGTTCTACACCCAAGGGGGGTGCCCTGAGTCACGAGGACGTCTGGGTTTGGAGGAGCATAGCTTTCAGGTGCCAGTGGAACCAGGACCATGCTGTGTGTACAGGGCAGGGCCCCTGGCCGGGTGGCACTGTCACCAGGTGACTATCTGAGCCTGCCTGGTCCTGCTGACGTCTGGACTTCCGGAGCCCAGAGAACCTTCTGGAGGTCACTTCATCCATGCCTCTGCCTCTGGCTGGGCCGGGCCAGTCCCCAGAGGTCTCGGTTCCCTTCGGGCCAGCAGGCCGGAAGTCCTGGCCCACCTACCCCGCCCCCCCTTGCCCCAACAGACCCAGCAGGCCTATGAGCTCAGCCCCCACGCAACTTTGGCCAGCTCATCTGGTCTGGTCACTCTGGCTCAGGTCCCTCCCTGGGCCCGGCCCTAAATGGCCCTCCCAGGCCAGGGTGTCTGAACCCATTCCTGCTGCGACCGGACATGGAGCTGGTTAATGCTTAACAGGAGAGCTGGTGACATGGGGGCGGCCGGCCCGGCTGGTGGGGCAGGACTTTCGGGAGGCGGCTGGTGGGAGGCGGGCGTGCCGGTCACGCGCGGCCCTGAGGACGTGTCCGCCTGTACGGGGCTCGGCTCCTTCTCCGAGCCCTACCCAGTGAGGGGGATCTGGAAGAAGCAGCGAACACCTCGTGGACCAGGGCAGCCCCGGCCGTGCTCCGGGGGCCGGCCGGCGCCCCTGCTTTGGGGGCAAGACGCACGCTGGCCGCATGTGCTGGGGGGTCCTGGCGTGCAGCGAGCACACGGCCCCCGCGTGCGGCGCTCCCCAGCCCCACTGTAGGGTCTTTGTGCCTTTCCCAGGATACGGGCGCCTCCATGGCGAGACGGGCGTCTGAGGCTCCAGGGCGGGATGGGGAAAACCAAACAGAGCTGGCAGCCCCCGGCTAGCCCCACAGCCCCCGAGACAGCGGCTTGGCAGCCAGCAGCCACACGGAGGCCCTGGCAGGGCTCCTGGACGGGGGTGCTTCCTTTGAGGTTGCCTGGGAATGTTTGAGGTTGGAACTCGTGGCAAACGCTGGCTCGGCGTAGCCGAGAGCTGCCGGCACGGAACCGTGAGACGTGCCAGGACAGCACGTGTGCGCCCTGCCCGCGCGGGCCCCGGCGGCCGCCCCCCACTCCTCTGGGCCCCGGGGTGCTCGCCTGGCCGCGGCCCCGGGCGGCGGGGGGAGCCCTGTGCCCGTTTGCTGGCTCTCAGCCTGCACGTGCCCCAGCGCCGAGATTCCGGCTCTCCGCGCCCTCTTCGTCTGGGCTGCCCCTACCCCATCATGTGAGCCTCCGGGAGCCTGCACCCCACTCTGCCCTACGCCTCTGAACACTGACGCTGAGGTGCTGTTCGCAGAGCTTTGTTCCCTTCTCCCAGAGTCCCCGCGCTGTCTGTGAGCCCGTATTCCTGGGGGACGTGGACCCCGTGCTGCGGAGTGTCTGGGTGATTTGGCCCCATTCACCTGGAAGTTGGTGGATGCCCTCCTCATCGCGTGACTGCGTGTGGAATCCATCGACCAAAGCCCCCGTGTCAGAAAACTGGGATTCTCTCTGACCCGGGCACCGGGGCCCTCCTGGGACCGCCGGCACCCCTCCCCATGGACGGCCCCTCCCGGGGGCTTCTGGGACCACGTACCCCGTTCCTCCATAGCTCTGGGAGGGCCCCCTTCACCTGCTCTCAGGGTCTCTGTTCATCGGGGGGTACCTTTGGCGTCGGGGCGAATACCTGGGGACACGCCTGACCCCCTGAGCACCTGACGACCTTCTCCCCTCACACCCGAGGTCTGGACACTGGGACTCTCTGGGCTGTGGTCACCAGGTGCCCAGACAACCCATACCCACTCGTCGGCCCCCTGGGTGCCTGGGTCCCCCGTAGGCACATCTCCCGTAGGCCGGAGCACCAGGCCAGGCCCGGTGGCCTCGTTCCTATGGTTTGGACGCCCTGTGCTCTCTCCTCCCCCTGCCTGTGATTGTCACCCTTGTCTCTGGCTATGTGCGCTATTCATCTGTGTGCTGGGCCTTTGGCTTGCCCTGCCGCCCAGGTGTCTGGGATGCCCATGCTAGGCCTCCCACAAGCGGGGCTCCCACCCAGACGGGCCTGGGGTCCTGAAGCCCATGTGCCTGAATATGGAGCCCTGTCCCCCATTGCGCCGAGTGTCTGGGTTCTGGAGCCCATTAGTCTGAGAGCCTGGGTCCCATACCCCATTCGTTGATGTATGCGGGTCCTGTACCCCATTAGCCTGAGTGGGCCCTGAACCCCCTCAGTTGGAGCATCTGGGTTCCTTACCCCAGTCCCCCCTGCTGAAAAGCTGAACTGCCCACCCCACATGCCTTAGCATCTACAGCCTGCTGGCCTGTCATCCGTCCTTGTGGATTCTGTTCTTGAGGCTCAGGGACCTGTATCCCGCTCCCTGGACCATGGGGGGACTTCTGTGCCATTCAGCCCCCTCAGCTTTTCTGAGCTGGATGGTGTGCACCCATTCCGGCTGGGAGACTGCAGACCTGGAACCCCACTAGTCCCGCATCTGGGTGCCTCGGGCCCCAGGCACGTCACACCTGGCTTATGGGAGGTGGCCCTCTCCTGCTCCTCCAGCCAAGGTTCTGGCTGCCCAATCCAGGTCACCTTAGCCCGGCGCAGTTGGCGCCCATCCCGCCGCCCCACCCGAGTTCTGTGTGGCTCTGGGTAACTGCCCGTGTCTGCAGCCTGTTCGCCCGCACAGATGGGGGCCGGGTGCCTGCCACCCTGAATTTCTAGATTCCACCACCCAACTCTGAATGTGGGTCTGGCCCTCCGTTCCCCAAGCCTCCCAATCTGGCTGCACCATTTACCTGAAGACTCGGGCCCCAGACACCCACCGCTCCGGGCAGCCCATACCCCACTCCTCCGACTTCGACCATCAACCTGACAGTGTTCTGCCCGCCGTTTCCATGGCCTCGGGGCCGCCCACCCCTAGTCCCTGAGCATTGGAATGCTGGCTTCCACGCTCTCTTCTCTGGCTGCCTGAACCCCAAAGTCATCAGGGTCTCAGGCAGCCTAGCCCCTCACCATCTGCCTCCCACATAGGCCCACATCCCGGGGCTCAGGCCCCATCTTTAGACGTCTGGTCCCGTTCGCGGGCATCTGGCCTGCAGGAGCCCACTCAGGCCCCTCGTGGCCTCTCCGTGCTGAGCTCCTGCATGGCTCTAGGCAGGCTGCTCCTTGCTGTCTAAACTCTGTCTGGGGGTTCCGTTTCCCTCCCTTGGGGGTCTGAAGGCTCCACACTTCCTGGAACATCTGAGGGGTGCCATCCCCCACCGTGCAAGGGTCTGGGTCCTGGCCCCCCGTGACCGTGCATAGCCGACGCCCAGTGCCTCATGGATCCAGGAACTGGAGACCGGTCCTTTGTGGATCTCTAGATGCTCACGGGGATGTCTGGGCTCTGTAGCTGGCACCCCACTCCTGAGTGCACTCATGACACTGGGTCTTGGGGTGCACTGTTCCCCCTTTCACTGGGGATTTTAGAGGCGTGTACCCTCAGCGGCCTACACTCCACACCTCACGTAGGCTCATGTCCCCGGCTCTCGGGCCCCACCGGCCCGTTCCAAGTTCTACCGCGTCTTTGGACGCCCGCGGCCCATTCATGGGTGTCCGGCCTGTGTGAGCCCATTCATCTTGTCCCAGCGCCTCTGTGCCCTATTCATGCGTGGCTCTGGGCAGGCTGCACCCCGTCCGCCCACGTCTCAAAGACAGTCTGTGCTTTGTCGCGCCTGTTCCAGGAACAGCTGCCGAGCAGCCAGCAGGCACATTCCGGGGTTTGGCCGAAGGCCAATGCAAACCCTGGTGTTGCTGGCACTGGCCAGTGGGGCAGGGGAGGGGGATGGCCATGGGGAGGGAGAGTGGGGACCCTCCGCTCGGGAGCACGCGATCAAAGCCTTCCGTACACGGGGCATGTCCCGGACAGGCTGCCAACGGGAGTGGCTGTGTGCACGTTCCAGACCCCTCCACCGAGCCCGCCATTTCCTGCCGGGAAGGGTGGGGGCAACCTGGCTGCAAGGCTTGTC